AGCCTGTATCGAGGATAGAGGGGATGAAGGGTTCGACGGTGCAAGGCAAGATGAGGGGTCCAAGTTTCTAACCCCGAATTTACCTGACAGGTCAAGAAACGTCTCCGACACTTTTGCCTCTCTCGCCAGGCGCACATGGATGCCTTCCTCACGGTCGCCTTCGCCCAGAGACCGGAACGACGACGAAGAGAAGTCGCCCGACGCCCGCCCCAGCCGTGAGCGCTCTGCTAGTAATAGTTCGATCATGAAGCTAAGGAAGGCGTCGCGAAAACGATCTGGATCTTCTACCGACACCGAAAGTGGTCGGAATTCTTCTGAATCCGGGGGCAGATTGGGCAATTATCTCACCAGGATCAAGCCGCGGCCGCAGGGCGCCGTAGCGAAGGGCAAGGTTCACGGCGACCTCGACAGTCCAGCATCGTCTACGACCAGCCTAGCACCGCCCTCTACTGACACACGCCGATCACATGCGTCCGAGACGAGCAGTAGCACCTATCCAGAAGACAGTGCACCGACGACCAAGATGCCGTTAGTGCGAGATCCCCTGTGGTCGGTGTTCAAGGGCCTCGACGCGGATTTCAACAAGTTCCAGGGCAAGTCGATCCCCATGAAAATGACCTTGGTTCGGGGTGTTCTTGTTCCCTTTTTGCGGAAGTACGCCGCACACCCGTCCAATAAGATCTTGCACTACGAGGACTTGGAACGGAGAGCTACAGTTTTAAACAAGTGGTGGGTTGGTCTGCTGGAGATGCTGGAGGCCAAGTCTCAGCCACCAGTCTCGGGGGTAGATAGACCAACGCTGCTCGAAGTGACGAGCGGCCTGATGATGCGCCCCGAATGGCGCCAGAGTACTCCGAGTTTCTGCGCATTGGCCGACCGAAACCCCCGAGAACGCTTGCGAAGGCGCTCATGCACTATTTCGAACGAGTCGTCAAGCTCTGTCGAGTCTACAGATTCTGTTTTCCTTGCAGAATCTACGGGCCATAATGTGCGGACTATGTTCGTCACGAATTTAATCACTCAGATGGCTATCGTGGTGGAAAAACTGGCTCTGCGTCATGCGCCTTTAAGTCTGATCAACTTCGCCGGCAAGGCTTGCGCTTATGCATTCTTTTTCGCACCGGGCATCGCTGATGTACTCGTCCGCCTCTGGTCTTTAACGCCAGACTTACTACGTCGGGTCGCCGATGAATTTCACCTGCCACGGTGGAGTAAAGGCGAGAGTGACGATATCGTTGCCCTCTTCCCGCCTTGCGTTGAGGGGCTAGGGTGGACCTCGGTCAAGACAATGTCCAGTACTCTTCGGCAGAGGACAAAACCACCGCTACCAGCATCTAAAATTCCCTGGCGTGGACCCTGGGTGTCGAGATGGAATGGGCGAGACTCTGACTTGTTCTTCATTTTCTGCAAATACTACTACATACTGGCGGAGGAATTTATGCCGCAAGAGCTTCCCCTTGTCGAGAAAGCTAGGGCGCCTGGTTTCGTCCTTGTCAATGCGCAGATTCTTGCCGCTCTCGACTCTACTATACATCGCCAAGCAGCTCTCGAGGCTCCGCCCGTCCCTTTGTCAGACTCACTGCACGGAGCAGACGCATCAGTTATGTCGTTGCAAATGGCCCCGAATAATAACATAATGAGAGGAATGAGCGAGAACAGGCTCATTGTTCTGCTGAAGGATTTTCTATCATCAGCTTCTGTAATGTTTGCAGGTGCTCGTCACACATTCGCCGAGGCCTTTATGGCCGTCATGAAAGCCACTGCCAAACGTACTTCCCAATATGACCACAACGCATGTTTCACTTTCTGCGACTTCCTGGAAGAAGCATTAGTAGCCTATGAAAGTTTCATAGATGTGCAAAGACCGGACATGATTTACGTTGACTGGGCATTTTGGTTCGAAGTTTGTAGGCGGATTCTTGAGTCTAACAACTCGATGTCTGAGATCCGAGTGCTTTCTTTGATATTCTCCATCTGGGATACGGTCGCGAATAATCAAGCACGAAAATCGGCTATATGTGTAGACTGGCTTCTCACGGAGGAAACATTCAACAAATTGTTCAATAACTGGTGCCCAATGGTGCGAGCGTATTATATGCGATTGTTATGCTGGAGGATTTGCCGAGATGCAGGCAGCGCAAACGAGACCGACGCGTAAGAATGAAATCTGAAAAGCGGCGAAGAAAAAAAAACCTGGCTAACCCCCTCACAGCAAGATATTCCTTCTCGTTTCCTCCCGGCTGAAGACCACGTGGTCTCATTTTCTTTGGCTCAAGCAGACCACCGGGGACCAAGGCAAATTTCCACCGTCGACCGCCCCGTCATTTCCGACTCCCGGGAAACGCTTCATGATTATTCGTACCGAAGTCCCTGCGGTACAGCAGGGTCTGATGGTGGGCTTTGATTCTTCACCTGCACCCCAGCACGATATTTCATCGAGTCCGGCGACCGATTTTGATTCTATTGAGACGGATACGTATCCTGAGGTGGAACCCCCGAAGAAGAAATGGGGTCTCTTCGGAAAGATGTTCTCCTTCTCCGGGTCGAATGAGTCGAATGATCTAGAAATATTACGACGCAACACTGCGGCAACTCGGTCTAAAACAGCTCTCCCCCCGAAATCACCGCCCGGGGCTTCCAGTCCTCCAGGTTCTGACTCGGATAGTATGGGGTCATCCCCTACTTATGAGGCTACACAATATGTGTTCAGATTCATGCTCTCCTGGAATGCTGCTGGTACTATAGCACCACCCAACCGAATTCTCACTCGCCCGCGTCTCCCGAGCCCCGCTCAGTCCTGGGTAACCCATAGAACTCGAAGTGGAAGTCCGCCGCCTCCTCAAGCGAGTCGGCCTTCGCCAACTCGAGCTGTTTCTGGAAGTCCTCACTTTGGTCTAGTTGAGAATGCAAAAAATGCCAACTCGTCCGAAGTACCGTCGTCACCTCCTCGAATCTCCATGTCATTTGACCGACGGGATGCCTTTACTCCTACGAGCCCTGGCGATCACAGTAGTGACGATCTACCTCTGCTGGGCCCGACTAGTCCTGGGCAGGATTCAATCATCACCCCCGTCGAGCCGAAGGGCTCGTTTGCTTCTAATGTGAAGTATACCGGTCGAGCCTTGGCAGAGTGGAGCTTGGTCGTTGCTGAGTGTAATAGCTTTGTAGACCGAAGACGGGAAGAGGGCGTCCTTGGGCTCAGCGATGTTGAAGTGCCGGCACTCGGGGTCGAAGGCTTCAGAAAACTAGCATAAGCCAATTATCTCGACTTGCAGCATCCTTGCTTCTTCCATTCTTCAACTTCGGTGGCAACTCGATGGAGCACACCTCTAACATACACGTTCTAGACGAAACATTCGATTTATTCACATAAACACGACGTGAATACCCACATCCACACGATTGTGGGATGATTAAATACATGATGCGCTAGATTTTTCAGGCGCTTAGAGGGATCTGGTATAAAGACATAGCACCAATACCCTCACAAAAACTGATATCGGCGTTCTTAAGGCATACACGGGTTTAAGGGCAGGGCGGTATTCTGTTACTTTTCGCAGCACAAAACTGGCCGTCTTCATTTCTCTTCATTCGTTCTGCATTGCGACCATTGAATGGCGTTTAGGGACATATTCATTTTCAACCCCAGAAATATAAGATACTCTCATGAGCAACTGCAAATGGCGATAGCATCATTCTGCGGAATTTGCATGGCTTGGTCACAAAACAACTCTCTTAGATATTGAAACAATCAATTGGACATTTGGTTTGATGGAATAATATTCAGGGCTTCAGGCTGGTACAGCAAGGGGTTAGTTAGGATGTGGTCCCGAAAGGAAAGGGGAACCTTTTTATTTTCCGCGGATGTGCGCCTCAAGGGACAACAAAACATTCCACAAAGACAAGGTTAACAGACTTTGCTATATACTAAGACGAAGGAGAGAGAGAAGACAGGCAAAATTCATAGAGATGCAGATTTTGACGAATGGAAATATTGTGGGGAACAAGCAACTCCCATCCATCACATAGTCGTCGTATTATATTGTCGTGCATTGATTGTACTTACTTATTATACCAATCAAGCAACCAACCACATATACTGATCATAGGCCGGCGAAGATAAAACAACCCCTCCAACCCCCCCAAATCATAGATGGATTCACTTCCCTCGCCGTCGATGGCGACCCTCTTTCGAGATAGGTTCCTCCTCCTATACTCTTTTCCCAGTCTCGGTCGACTTTCTGTTGTGTATGTCTCTCTACCTACGTCGAAGGCTACATAAATATATGCTCCATAAAGTGAGCATGTCCATATGTATTATATGTGTATCGTATATGGTAGCCAGCTAATCTACTGGGTTGGACTTTACCTACCTACCTACCTACCTACCTACCTACCTACCTACCTACCTACCTACCTACCTACCTACCTACATATCGACCATTTCACCTCTTCCGTCCCTCCCCTATGCGCATCGTATGGTTTCGGGATATCTACCTAAAACAGTTAGTCATATTATCTATCCTTAAGTGATAGACAGATAGTACATACATCAATATGCTAGGTGTGCGTACATCTAGAAGTGGCACAGACAGGCATATATATATATGTTGTGCATGCATGTAAGTTTGTCGGTATGGTTTAGTTCGTGAGGGTGGTCAGGTCAGGTCGATGCTAGATTAGGTTAGGCAGGTTGGTTAATCATGTTCTTGCGGTGAGTTGGTTACAAAGATCACTTGAACATTAGCAATTCCTTGATATCAATATATATAGTGTGCTGTTGATTGGGTTGACCGTGTTTTCTTTCCTAGTTTTATACTTCAAATTAATAGATTTTGTCGAGTTTCATTTGGTCTACCTAGCTCCCTTCAAGGGACTAAGGTTGTTAGATAAGTAACTTTAAGTAAATGATTATCAGTTAATCAATCAATCATTTGAATAAAAGAAGAAGAAAAAGAGATCATGGCTAAAAAAAAGAAAACAAAAAGGAAAATGAAACTTGACCACGACCCGACTCGAACGGATAATCTTCTGGACTGGAATCAGATGCCTTACCTTTTGGCCACGCGGTCTTGAAAATTTTAGTCCGCTATTAGGCTTTATGTTCTAGGACAACAGAGGGCTCGAAACCCTTTGATTAATTTGCGTTATGTCCCGCTAACCTACCTGAGGGGCGGCGGGGCGGGGCGGAGCCAGGTAAGTTTTAGTTACCTAGGTTAAGTTACTTGTAACCGGCTATATACTCTACCTACATACCTAACCTAGTCTACTACCTAGGTTACTACTTAGTAACTTTTAGTTACAGTGGCAATTTGCGTAGAGGTGGCCGATATGCAGGTTTGTTACGCCTCGTGGTGGGCCTCATTTAGGTACCTACCTAGGTAAGTAGAAAGTACTACCTATAGGTACCAAAGGTGGATCAACTTATACGGCGGTCTAGAGTGGTTGATGTAGGTATTGTACTACTTAGCTTCAGGGCAGGGGGAGGAGGGCCGTCCCCCCGAAAATGGGTTCTGGAAAGAAAAGAAAATACCTACCTAGTTACGCGAAAAAAAAAGGGGGGGAGACTCTTGTGTTAGGTATGTAGTTACGGGTGAGCGATCTGAAGTGCGTATACCTAGAAACTTAGGTTAGGTACTTAATTGGGAGGGACTTTGTCGAGATGAATAGGTAGGTGAATGGCGTCTCGTCTATCCCATGGGTATGCTATTTTGGAGAAAATACCTTGGGGGAGGGCGGATAGGGAGAATAGCACAATCTACTACTATGCGCCTCCCCCAAAATAGACAAACAGACAAAAAGGCATATCGTGCCCTCGATTTTGATCAATTGTGATTTTGTATCATGGGAGATACGATAGGATGGTGGGAACAGTGCTTCTATGCAATCAAACAATGAACGCTAACTACACTGGATACCTAGGTATGCATCTATTGATATCTTCATGTCATGCCGCTCGTGGTATCGCTTTAACTTAGAGTCACCTATTTTTTAAGAAAAGAAAAAAAGAATATTGGGATGAAGAAGGGGGAACTAATCCCACTCCGAACATTTCCTACGCTATGCATCGTCCCATCCACCCTCCTGCGGCCACCTACGTAGCCATCTGAAGGCCACGCCGGCACCACACAGAGCGCGCTTGATTTCCGCCAGGGTTTCATCGCCGAGCTCTAGCCTAGCGTGCTTCCGGTAGCGGTTACTCGGCCACAGCGCGATGTCGCCCAGCTTCGGCAGGCGCTCGTGCCGCCTCGCGGCCAGGTCAACGAACGCCGCCGTGTACATGGCGTCGCGGCGGGGATGCGTGCTATCCTCGTCGTGCTCGTGCTCGTGCTCGTGGTCGACGTCGACGTCCGCGCCATGACCCGCCCCGCCGGGACGGCGCCAGTCCTCGTACAGGTCGAGGACCTGCAGGTTGGGGGGCAGACGGTCGGCGAAGCCTCGCTCCGCCAGCTCGGCCTCGGTCCGGAACAGGGCCTTGCGGTCCACACCGAGGACCTCCAGGCGCTCGAGCCGCGGGAGGCAGGTGAGCCGCGCGGTGGGCGAGAGGTAGTCGTCGTAGTCGTCGCGGTACCGGGTGAAGGCACGCAGCTCCTGCAGCGTCCGGGCGAGGAGGGCGATGGCGGCGTTGAGGTCGGTCTCGTCGCCGCCCATGTCCAGCGCCACGAAGTTGAACATGTCAATGGAGAGCCTGCGCAGGCTCCCGGCGCGCTCACACAGACGCTGGTACGTGTCGGCGCTGGTCTGCGAGACAAGGTCGAGCTCCTCGATCTTGCCCGCCCAGGAAAAATCGTCGGCGTAGCTCAGTTCGTCGTGCCGCGCCTCGATGCGCCGGACCGAGGGCAGGGTGAGGAGGACCGGGCACTCGTATATAGTCGCACATTGGGCGCGGCCGAACTCGGAGGTCTGGACGCTCCGAGGCGGAAGCTGGAACTGGAGAGTCCTTAGGTTCGGCAGGATGCGGTGTCTCAGGCGCTCGTGCTTCAAGGCCCGGGTTATTGTCTGGTGGAGGATTTTGTACTTCTGACGCTCCATGGTCTGCAGGAGAAGCGTTTCTAGTGATGAGGCCAAGCAGACGAGGACGGCGAGCAGCTGCTCGGCAATTTTAGACTCCTCGTCCTCGCTCTTCGGAGGAGCGGCGTGAGAGATGTCAAGCCCGGCCAGTCCAAACACGATCTGATCATCCGCCGACAGACCGGTAAAGTCTGCCTTGCTGTACTTCCAACTGGCCGACACCAGTTCGGCGCGGTCATCGTTATGCCACCACGGGCTCGTATGCAGCAGCATGGGGCAGGCGACGTATTTGACGTAGGCTCGAAGCCCGGGCCTCTGTGTCAGAGTACGAATAAGCAGCACCAGGCTCTTGGATCCGGCGAGCAGCTCCCTGTCGGCTGTGAGGTTCTCCTCGTCGATATAGAGCACCACCTTCTCGTACAGAAGCGGCCTGGTAAGGTCGAGGAATAGGCGCGAAGTGCGGCACAGACTCCTGAGGGCAGCACGGTTCTCGACGAATGTCCTATCCGGCAGCTCAGATCCCAGTATCAAGGGTGGGAGATACAGGTGCTGGAAGATGAGTTCGAGGAGCTCATTCGGGAGGCCCTGCCTTGAAGCCATGATCACATAACATGAATTCCTTGCCCGGTATATACTGCAGCTATTGTTGCTCTAGGTAGTAAAAAGCAGAGTAAGGGTCAGGGCACTTGAGTTGAAAGGCGGTAGATATTAGTGATGGATATATATTTGATGGACTTTAGTTTATAGAAGTGGATAGGAGTTAAGTAGTATACAATGCTCTACCAATTAAGTACCTACCTATGTATGTATTGACATACTAGGTTAGACATTATGTGGTACCCAGCCCGGGGACCTTTAAAAATGCTGTGAAGGCTCTGGGGGCGCTGCTTGTGGGTCGTACCTACATACGTTAGGTACATTAGGTGCATCGTTGGAGGTTACAAGGTTTAAGTAAGGCAGTTAGGTACATGGGTAGGTAACAGAATGCAATGCCACTGATTGGATTGAACTTAGGTAGGTAGTAACTTCTCCGAATTATCCGCCGTGTTCAGGGTTGAACCAGGTCGGGTCTTACGGTGGCCCATAGCGAACACTGTTGCAAACCTCAAAAACTAACACACATACACTAAAACCCACTACATAAACACATTAAAACCCCACTACATATACACCATTCAATAAAGCCACCCTTTAACACCTACTCTTTCTAACACCTACTTTCTTTAACACTTACTTTTTTTAACACTTACTCTTTTTAACACTTATTTCTTTTAACACCTGCACTTACTTTTTTTAATACCTACTTACTTTATTACATAATTTATTAATGCATTAATTAAGTATGTAAGCAAATAAAATATAATGCAAATAATAATAAGTTATGTAATGCAATAAGTAAGTGTTAGAAAGAGTAGGTATTGAAGAGAATGGTGCAGGTGTTGGAAGGAGTAGGTGTTAAGAGTATGGTGTGTATGTAGTGGGTTTTGGAGCTTGCAACAGTGTTCGCTATGGGCCACCGTAGGTCTGGTGGCTGTGCACAAAGGCTTACAGCAAGAACTTTTGTGGGACCCCTTCATCAACTTGCTCAAGCAGCTTCCAACCTTTTACCACATCCACATCCACAACCACATCCACATTTACACCCACATCCACAACGATGTCCTTGTTCTCCAGGTCCCGAGAATAAACATCCTCCTCCTCCTCCTCCTCCTCCCCCCCCCGGTGCCACTCGACCGGTTCAACCTCTCTCCACATGGCTCCCTCTCCCTCCATCCTGCCATTGGAATACCTCTTACTCGTGCCGCAACCTCCTCTGCCTACTCTGATATGATACCGTACGTATGTATACCTAGTCAGCACCTATAGCTATAGCCACCACATATGTCACGATGCCTCCCCGACGATCCCACAAGAAGTCTCGCGCAGGTTCGTCACCGATTTTGCTCATGCCATGTACACCGTCTCGTGTGTTGTGTTAACCACCGAGCAAACCAAAAGGCTGTAGGCGGTGTAAATCCCGGAAAATCAAGTGTGATGAGGTCCATCCTCGCTGCGGGAACTGTTCCAAGCACGGCGTTGCTTGCGACTTCGAGCACCCCGAGATAGCAGACACTCTCGCCCTTCCCGAAACGCCACATCCAACCGCATCTGCGAGTCCTTGCGAAAGCCCCTCTATCGGTTCTCTGCCTCCGACCCCTTCTGCCGCCGCGAGCACTCCTACCCCCATCTACCGCCAACCCGAACAGCCCCCCGTCTCCTCGGTTTCCAAGAGCGACCGGATGATGGAGCTGAAGCTCCTCCACCACTACACCACCGTCACTTGCGAAACTCTTGCCATATCCTCTCCGGTGAGCGAGAAGATATGGCGCGAGACCGTCCCCCATCTTGCCTTTTCGGGTGCCGATTTCCTGGCCGACGCCCTGCTCGCCGTCTCTGCTCTTCACCTGCGATCCATCTCCCCGCAGGACCAGGAGCTCATAAGGGCGAGCCACTCGTACATGGCCGCCACTCTGTCCGAGTACAGCGCGAGCCTGGCCAAGGGCATCAGTGAATCGAATGCCGAGGCCCTCTTTCTCACATCCGCACTTATTGCCTTTCAATCCACAGCATCGCGAATCTTCACCAGAGACGACAGCGGCGACTTGAAGGACCGGTCTGATGGCTATGTCCTGCCCCTGTCTTGGTTTCACTCCTTCCAGGGCGTCAAGACGATAGTGGCTTCCAGCTGGCAGTGGCTTCGCAATAGTGGTATTGTCATCCCAATCATCGAATCTCAGCCTGCGCTAAATCTCGACCTTTCCGGCAGGCGTGCCACCTTCTTTAGCGATCTTCTCGTTGGCGTCGACGAGGAGCTTTCCGGCCTGGACGACGATCCGGCTCTCCAACGATCTACCCGCCAAGCATACCAGCACGCCGTTGCCGTTCTTGACTGGGCTCACAAGATCCCCCAGACTGGTGCACCCCTGGTGTTTCTCGCGACCGTGTCTCGCCGGTTTGTCGATCTTCTCGAAGTTCGAAAACCCCGTGCACTTGCCATTCTCGCAAGCTACTTCGCCCTGCT